GAAGGAGGTGATTGTGAATGGGGGTGCAGTTAAGTTAGCTTTGGGTTTAGATGGGTTTTTGGTGTAGGCCAGTATGTATTTGTGCATAAAAAGGACTACTCATGGGGCGCCTAGGTGGCTCAGTTGGTTGAGCATCCGACTTTTGATTTCGGCTCAGGTTGTGATCACAGGGTCCTGGGATTGTGCCCTACATCAGGCTCTGCACTCAGTGGGGAGTCTGCTGGAGATTCTCTTCCTCTCTTCCTTTCCCCATCTCTCTCTCTCTCTCTCTCTCAAGTAAATAAATCTTTTTTAAAAATTAAAAAATAAAAGGGAGTTCTCCTCTCTTTCAGTTTGGCTTAAACAATCGTGTTCAATGTGTTAAGGTTATAAATTCAAAATTGCAATGCTTCCTAGGCTTTATATTTATCTCACAAATCTTACTCTATTTGGAAGTCTAGCAAAATCCAGCAGGCACTCTCAAGGGACTTTTGATGAATGATTGGCCCTTTTTACCAACTTAAGTGTGTTCAAATACTTTAAAACTGTGTCTATATGAATGTAACATATTCTGTTTTCTTTTTTGAGCACCTCATTTATCTACTCAAACAAAACCTTGCTGAGAGCATAGGAAGTATTATAAGCCTATTAACTTAAATTATAGAGTGGACCTAAAGACCTGTTAGATGTCATAATACCACACATAAACTTAGGAAGTTTTCAACTTAAAATCAGAAGTTTAATCATTCCAGGCACCTGGGTGGCTCAGTTGGTTAAGCATCTCCCTTTGGCTCAGGTCATGATCCTGGGGTCCTGGGGTCCTGGGATTCAGCCCCACGTGAGGCTCCCTGCTCCATCGGAGGGCCTGCTTCTCCTTCTCCCTCTGCCTGCCATTCCCCCTGCTTATGCATGCTCTCTCTCTCCTTGTCAAATAAATAAATAAAACCTTAAAAAAAAAAGTCTAATCATTCATTCACTTTAAATTGTTTTTTTTTAAGTTTCACTCTAATTTCTTAAACAATAGTGCAGAAAAGACCAAATATGTATAAATATATTAATAGTATGATGTTGATGCTTTAAACCTTTCTATATTTAATTTTAAATATTCCCAGAGTGGAATGATGCATACCCACCAAGAAAGAAAATTGCTTGGAAATAACTTAGGCCATTTTCAAGCAAATATTTTGACAGAACTGCAGGCATCCAGAGAGATTTCCATCTCCCTGAATGTCACACTGAGCCCCCTTTTAGAGCAGCTGTGTCATGAGTGACAAAACCTAAAAAGGGTTTGTTCTTACAGATGTGAACTAGGGACAGTACCTGATTCTTGGTCTACTCAAGGATATAGGACAACCAGGTTGATCTTTGATCTTTCATGACAAGTACTTATGTTTCCATCTAAATGTTAAAGGCCTTCAAGATCAAAGGAATTCTAACATTCATACCTTTTTTTTCTATCTAATGATACATGTATATCTGATTGCCTGAATAAATCAATGTATTTTCCATTTAATGATAAAGACCTTTAAATGGGACACTAGGTACGTACATATCTTTTCTATTTAAAGGACTTTGAACTTGATGGAATCCTGCATTCTTCATATTCTTGGGACCACACAACAGTTGCTGATGTTTAAATGATCTTTAGTTGAGTTTTGGATATCCCTCGTGATCAAGCCAAGTCTGATTTACTCTTGTGAAATGAGGTCATTCTTCTGAGAGTTTATGAGGAGAGGCAGGAAGTTAAGAGAGTTCCCATCTGGTGGCCTCGGTTTTCTCTGCAAATTCGTATGGGAAGCTGTCTATTAAAGGAGGTGGGGGTCACATGGGATGAGGAAAAGGCTTTAAAATGACCATATTTGAAAATGAAAGATCTGAGTAGATCCATGCTACCTACTTTATCGACTCCTAAGTGTGTAACATTAGAGCCATTTGAAGCAGAGGTAATACTCAAGATGAGAATTCATGTTGAAGCATTAGTTTATATGGTTTTTATATCAAATGTGCACTTTTAGTCATTTGAGTACTTGCCTTAGATAACGAATATTTTCATAGCTGATCACGAGGTCACAGCTCAATGTCAAAGGAGCTTTATTAATAAAGCAATTGAAGTAGTCATTTATACTGCAAAAAGTTCCAGACTCATTTAACATTTATTTTCATTTGCTAGTCAATTACCAGCTGTCAGAGCGTATTAAGTGTTATAAATTTGAGTTGGAAGCTGTCACCCCTAAGTGTATTAACTCTCCCTAATCACATAGGTAGTTATTTGTCCTGTGAAAGAATGATATTAATCACCGACTTACATCTGTCTTCCTGATGGTATAAAATTGCCACTGGCTTCCATTGCAGATGTGAAGTAAATCAATGTAGACACCAAAAATGAAAGCAGACAGTCATGAATCCTGAGTATTTCCATTCATGTTAACAAGCTCCTCATTGTTTCCAGACTGAAATAAATGTCAGCCAACTTTCAAAGCTTTTTGCTTCTTAGTGTTAAAAATATAACGGTTTATTATTATTATTGTTCTTGTTATTTTTGTTAAAGATTTTATTTTTTTATTTGATAGAGAGAGATCTCAAGTAGCGGGGAGAGGCAGGCAGAGAGAGAGAGAGAGAGAGGAGGAAGCAGGCTCCCCGCTGAGCAGAGAGCCTGATGTGGGGCTCGATCCCAGGACCCCAGGACCATGACCTGAGCCGAAGGCAGAGGCTTTAACCCACTGAGCCACCCAGGTGCCCTGTTCTTGTTATTATTATGGAGGAGTATTTATTATGTGCCAGACACTATGCTCAAAGTTTTATATGAATTTTTTCTTTAAATATTCATAATAAACCTGTGAGGTTATTGGTTCTTATACTTACGGTTCTTATACTACTGTATCTCATTTTGTAATGAGTAAATGATGTCTCAGAAGACTTGAATAACTTGCCCAAATGGCAGAGCCTGGAGTCCAACCCAAGCAATTTAATTCCATACCCTTTTCTCTTGACCAGTAGTCTACACTGATGGATGGTGTTTGCTGTTTACTAGGTGAATCAGCTAAGAATGCCTTTGGGTACAAATAACTAAAATTCAACACAGAGTAGCTGATCAAATAGCAACTTATTTTTTTTCTCACTTAACAGAAAGAATGAAGACAGTCAACTACTCACATTGGTTTAGTAGCTCAGCAATCCCAGGACCAGGGACTCTGTGGTTCCCTGGCCTTTCCCTCATGTCCGCAAAGATGGCTGCTTCAGCAGATGCTGTTACAAGTATATTCACATTCAGGGCAGAAAGAAAGGATGTGGGAAGAGTTGGCGCCAGCCATAAGTGTGTAGTTTATCGTGAAGGCGAAAGCCTTCCCATTTGTATCCTGTTGGCCCAAATATTTAACATGACCACCCTGATCTCCAAAGGTATAAGGCAGGAGGGAGAAGGGAAGGGGGCTGACTGATGGGCCAGTCTCGGGTCAGAAGTTATAGAAGCTACAATATCTGTAGGAATATTTCACTGAACTAACTTACTTACTTTCTTTCTTTCTTTCTTTCTTTCTTTTTTTGGAGGAAAGAACTGTGATTTCTCCAGCACCTAAAGTATTAGTCCTAATGTATTCTTGCCTCATTTTCTAGAATGTGTTCCTAGATAAGAAGGGAAAGCTGTAGTTCCACTACCCAAGTCAGCGCTCTTCAGGTGCAAGTAACAGAAACTAAGACATACTTAAGAAAATGGATGAATTTTAGTCAGTCACTCAACAAATGAATGTATTAAGCACTTATTATATGCCATGTTCTCTTCTAGGCTCTGGGGATACACATCAGTGAACAAAACATTTAAAAAAAAGGAACAGACAGATAGACTCACTGACGATGCAGGAATCTCATGGAACTTGAAGATGTGATAGGGTCTTGAGGAGGGACAGAAACCAGGGGCTGAGAAGCTGTCAGGAATTCAACAGCTTCTCCAAGCATATCTCCTTCATTCTGCTCATGCTGATTTCTCTTAATCCTTAGTCAGCAAGACAGATGGAATATGGTCACCCTACATTGCCTGAGTTTTCATCTTCTATTCAGCCAACCAACTCAAGCTAAACCAGTCTCTCAATCTTAATCCAAGTACTTAAGCAGAAGAATTTGAACCCACAGAGCCCAGGGACAGTGAAAGACACCTTGAAAGGCATCCATCTCGGGGCACCTGGGTGGCTCAGTTGGTTGAACATCCGACTCTTGATTTTGGCTCAAGTCATGATCTCAGGGTCATGCAGGCTGTTTAAGACTCTCTATCCCTCTGCTTCTTCCCCCCAACCGCCCCCCTTGTCTCTCTCTTCCCCTCTCAAAATAAATAAGTCTTAAGAAAAAGAAAGAAAGAAAGAAAGAAAGAAAGAAAGAAAGAAAGAAAGAAAGAAAGAAAGAGAAAGAAAGAAAAGGAAGGAAGGAAGGAAGGAAGGAAGGAAGGAAGGAAGGAAGGAAGGAAGGAAAGAAGGAAGGTAGGTGTCTACCTCAAAAGGCTACGTATTGTCTGTGACCCATCTCCAGGCTTATCGGTGCTTTTCTAGACACTTCACCTGTCATCCATCAGAGCTCCCTCCTATCACCCCAGAATTGGAGAATTACCTCTACCTGGAAGAGAACATTTGTTTAGCTACATTAAAGTTGCCAGAGCTTTGAACTTTTCCCAATCACTTTGTTCCCTAATAAGTTAAATGATTTCCCCCTACAGCCCTTGTCCCTATCTTCCAGATAAGGGGATATTTGGGTCTTTCTTAACATCAAACCTCCCTCTCACTTCAAGCCAACACAGCTACTGATCAGTTTTGTTCCGAAGTATACATTGAAATGTGGGTAGTATTCTTTTATGCATTCTTTTATGGCCCTTATGAACTTTAAGCCAGGGAGATATGGTTACTGGTGATTCTTTTTTTCTTAAATCTCTTTTTTGTTTCAAAACAAGGGTTTTGTGTTTTGTTTGTTTTGTTTTGTTTTGTTTTCCCATTCTTGAGTATACTGAATTGCTAGCCCTCTGCTAATCTGTTTTTCTGTAGGCTGTGGATTCACCTTCCCGTGGAGGAGGATGGGCAGGCTGGGGCTCCTGGGGCAAATCTCTGCTCTCATCAGCATCTGCTACAGTAGGTAAGAATTATATGTTGCATTCGAATGGATAAAGTTCAGAAGCCTGATGATAGCATTTGACATTTTGATCATACCACGTACTGGTAGAGGTTACCATCAGCCCGCAAGATAATAAGAGCAAATCATTTTTACTCTCTGTTCTAAGTGCTTCATGTATATTAATACATTTATTCCTCAAAATAACCCTAGAAAGAAGTATTTTTATTTTCTCCATTTAGAGATAAAGAAGGTGAATCACAGAGAGGCTAAGACCTTGTCCAAAGTCAGAAGTAGCTGGGTTGAGATTTGAACCAAGTGGTACAGATTTAAGCACTATATTATATTGCATCTTAAGATATACGATTTGGGGTCTTATATTCTCAAAGTTTTGTCCTTGTCCTCCCACCTGAATGTTTTAAAATATACAACTAACCTACTCCCTGGAAGGATTTGAGGTATTTCAATAAAATATGCAGGTATGAAGGATGTAGAATATATATCCCAAGGCTGGTAGAGTAATTGAGCATTGACCTTGACTCTGAGCATCTTGGCTGCCAGTAGGTTATCAATTTTCATGGAATGATAAACCAAAACTTAGTTTATCTGGATAAATTTCTTTTCCGGGTGTTATATTTTTGAAGACATTTCTTGTATTGCCTCTGTATATACAAGGAGAAGATACAGTGGACCATGTCTTCATCGGTACGTGTTTGTCAAAAAATTCATCATGTGACCATTTCTCATGGTCTTTCTTTGTGAAAACTGAAGGTGTAACATCAGCGTGTCTAAGCTGAGTTAGCAAAGGCATTTCATCTTGACAGTGGAGAGCGAGGAACAGGACAGGGGAAGCCTCGGGTAACACAGCTCTGAGATCATTGAAGTCAGGTGTTCTCAAGGTGTAGTCCATGGCTGTTACCTCCTAAAAGCAGGAGGGATAGGAAGGCTGAAGATCCTTTGTCCCACTCCAGTGGACCATGGTCATGGTCTAAGGGCCAAATATCTAATCAGATAGAGAGCCTGTAAGAACAGGTCGACTGCATTCCTCTATTCCGTGTCTGGAACATCAGGGAGCTCTGGCAAGAAGAAGATGGCGGTCGAATAAATGTTGGCCTTTGGGGAGATCCTGCAGAGCAGATTTTTTCTGTTGCTGATTGAAGGGGCCGGTTGTGCTGCGGATACTACGTGGACAGATAGAAAAAACAGCCAAGTTATAGGAGAGTGTTCCCTGCCGAGTGACCTACCAGGCTGAAATCAGGTGTCAGCCGGCCGCGTTCTTGTGTGATATCCAAGGTCGTATCCCGAGGTTATTCCAATTGTTGGCAAAATCCAATTCCTTGAGGTTGTAGGCTTGGCACCCCCATTTTCTTGCTGGTTATTGGCCAGGGCCGCCCGCCGCTCCTCTAGGCTGCCTGCTTCCAAGCCGACAGGATCATTTCTCCCCCCTGCTTCAGATCTCTCCCTTCAGGAAGGGTCTCGTCCTTTTTAAAGTTTCGCCTGATAAATAAGCCCCACTCCCAGGATGATCTCCTTTAACAAATTCAAATTCAACGGATTAAGGACCTTAATTATAACTGAAAGATCACTTCACCTTTGCCATATAATGTCCCCTAATCTTGGGAGTGAAATTCCATCAATTTCACGATCCTGCTTACGCTCAAGGAGAGGAGATTACCCCTGCTGTGTGCACTAGGGGGAGCTCTCTCAAAACCACCTGCCACGCTTCCCTCTTCTGTTTGAAGTCCTCCTCACTTACCCTACCAAATCCAGAAACTTAATTCTTTTTATGGCTGTAGCGACGAGCTGGACTTTTTAGAAGCATTTAAATCTTGGCACTTTTTTTTCCTTATCTGCCTCCACAGTGTCCAAAGGGCACACGAGAGAACTCAAAGAAATTTTGAAATGTCAACGCCTGTTCTAAGAATCCTGTCAAATTGGAGCTATGGGTAGAAAAGTAGAGCTGAAACTTGTCCCTCATCACTGGTCATCAGAACCCCAATGAATGCAAAAGCAATAACCCCAACTGCCATCCCAAAGTTGCTCCTGAGGCATTATTTTTGGAGATTTCTGGTCAAGACATGCGTGACTTTCTGTAGCAATAGTAGCTAAAGTAATAGCAATACATACTTTAAAACTGGGTAAGGATCTCTGTGTGGACATGAGAGAGAACTAAAGCTTGTAGTGTAAAGGGGCGGGGGGAGGAGGCTGAAGTTACGGGTTCCAAGGCTGGAAAGCTTGGTGGTGGATGGGAGAGATAACAGGGATCACAAGCGTCCCACAAAGGAGAGGTGCCACAGCCAGGCTCACAGCCTGAAACAGATGGGTGAAATAGGGTTTACAAAGTTACAGGAGCCATCCTGGGTTGATGTCCGTACCAAGCTGCTATCTAGGGATGGAAAGAAGCAAGCCAGTGAGGGCTCTGTTATGTATAGCCAGGACACCTGCCCAAGACTTTGTAGCACTAATAGGTTCTTATCACAGGGCAAAGAAACGTATTGGAAAACAGAGCGCTCCTAGCATTAGGCGAGCTCTTGAAGGTTTATAAATTGCCTGTGGAAAGTAAAGAAAGGAAATAACTGCGTATTCCATTGCAATTGATTCCCGCTCAGAAACCTCATGTTACTACCCCCAGGGTAATTCCAGCCACAGACAGGAGCGCAAAACACTGAGTCAGTAACAGAACACAGGGCTGTCAATTGAGCACTGGAAATAGAAGCCAGTCCTTCTTACATGTGTTGAAAGACTGCAGTCAGAGTAGTTTGAGCTGTGCGGAGTTAGCAGGGGAGCACTTGGAGACTCGAAACGTTTGGAAGGTGGTTCTCTCTTGGAAAGAGCACTGGAGCAGGAGTCCTACAGAAGTGAGCCCTGGTCTTCACTGCTCCTAATGTGGGATCACGAGGGTGGTCACTAACTAGCAACACCAAGCCCTTAACCTCTCTCAGACTCAGATTCCTTATTTGGAAAAGTGTGGGAAGGGGAAGTTGAGACCTTAGAAGATTCTTTCCAATTTCCGTAACATGATGATTCCTAGTCTGTGGCTATATATAGAAGGAGAAAGATATTTATAACCCCTGTGCTAAATGGGAAAAGACAAAAAAACTGATACTTTTTGCTACTCTGTATTTTTGTATTTTTGTCTTTTTGCCTTGCTACTTTGACCCCGAGGTTAAGGGCAAAGGAGAAAAAGTGACCTCCCCATTGCTTATGTGAAATCAGAGTTCTCAGACGACAGCTCTTTTTGGAGAGACTGTAACTTTTGCATTAGCTTCACCCACAGCTACACTGTCCTCACCTTCCAAGAAAATCTGATCACCTGCCGCCCCTGCCTTTGGGCAAGTTCCTAAAATGAACATTAATATGGTTATTTAAGATCCAGGCAGAAACCAGACTAGGAAAGGGAAGTATAAAAAAATAATTATTTTGATGATCATTTCAAAGTGATGCTGTGAGAACCAGATGTAGATGTGATTTCCCACCAGCATCTTAGAGACCTGACTTTTCCGAGGCTCTGTTTCTAAGCTAAATGAGAGATCAGCCGACAATCAAGATGAAAGTCGACAAAGCTGAAACATACGCAGATATACCTACATAGAGATTCTATAGCAGCACAGAGCAATTTATTTCTAGATATTACAAAAGCCCTAAAGGTTTAGTTTTTTTTTTTTTTTAATTCTAGTTTTGACAGTTTTATATGTCTAACCACCCTATACAGGACTACCTGATTGGGGGAAAGGTGTATCTGATGTGTATATTTACTTTTCAAAATTACCATTGTTCCCCTTTCCCTCCTCTCCCAAGTCACACGGTTTTCCCCTTCTGCACATTTTAATGAAACCCTTCTACCAGCCCTGTCAGAAATAATGACAGCATTTATTCCCGAGACTGGCAAACTTGTCAAAATCCTACTACAGTGAGAACTCTTAAATGGGTAAATCACCGTCAATATCACATTGATTCGTTTTTGAAGGTGGCATCGCTGTGATGGGAAAGTTCTCAAGGATCTTCAGTATAAACGATTTTAGGATTATGGGTCTGTGCGTGAAGTTTGTTCACGATCATTTGCCATCTGTGAATAAGACCCAGGGGTTCGTGAATCTCTGTTGGATGGCCAGGCATAAACTATCCATTCAGAGACACTTGTCACTTTTGAACCCAAAAAGAAGTGAGTATCTGATTACAGAGTGGACACCAACCCTCATTATGGAAAGGGAAGATTTTTCCAGAAGGAAGGTTGAATGGCTCCTCTTTTCACCGCACTGGTGTTTGCTATGGTTGAGTGAAGCAACATCATCTGTGTGTTTTTCTCAACAACTATTTCTCACAACTTTTTAAAAAAAAAATTATTTATTTATTTGATAGAGATCAAAAATAGGCAGAGAGGCAGGCGGGGGTGGGGGCGGGAAGCAGGCTCCCCGCTGAGCAGAGAGCTCGATGCGGAGCTTGATCTCAGGACCCTGAGATCATGACCTGAGCTGAAGGCAGAGGCTTAATCCACTGAGCCACCCAGGCACCCCCTCACAACTTTTTATACTATCTTCAATTCCTTGATAGAAGTCTGAGATGCAGCAAATATTTCCAAACTATTGTATGCCCCCAGAACTCACCCAGCGTGTAAATTGATGCAACTTTCAGAAGAACAGTTAGCACTATGAAATTTGAAATGCATGTAGCTTCTAGCCCAGGAGTTCTATTGATCCTTTGCACACAGTCATTGATATATATAATTATGTTCAATGTTGAATTCACTCAGTAAATACTTACTGTGCCAGACACTATCCTTGGCATTGGAGATGGGGCAGTGAGCCAGTGACACAAAGACCCTTGCCCTAGTAGGGCTTCCGTCCGTGTGGAAGGAGACAGACAATAGACAACACAAATAGTAAATAGGAAAATGATGAAGAAGGCGAGAAGGTGGATCATGATGACTCTTTAAAGTCGTTAATGTGCAAGGCGGCACACACAGCCCTCACCACCACCTGTGCTGAGACCTCCACTATATGCTGCGAAGAGGAAGAGGCCAGGTC